CAGACGCAATAATTCTCATAAAATTTGGTAGCGCTGTTAATCGAACACCTCTGGATCTGTAGCCAGGAACTCTTGAGCACTAGACAACCTGAGCGTATTAATTGTACTATTAAGAGGAAACTAGGCGACATAAATTATTTCCAGGACTTTTTGTTTATGTCTCTTTTAGTGTAAGCTCTTAACGTGATTTTAAATACCGACAATTCAAATAAAGTCAGAAATTTAGTAGGAAGTGCGATTTGTAGTCTTTTGTTTTTATGAAACTGTATAAACCTAAAAATTGTACAAGTTCAATGACTGAGTGTCACTCGTTCGTGAGGGACCAATGGTAGTGTCCGCATGAAACGGTCTTCGAGCTGGGTCAGTTCAGAAGCTCGACTGCTACGTCATAAATTTTGTTTGGAAAAAAAATATTAACTGAGTTTAAAATTTTAGTGAAGCCCACTCGAAAACTGCATCCGTGCGAAACCATTTGTAAAATTGGGCTACCTACGCATTTTATTTTCGGAAGGTAGCGGGTTCGATTCCAAATGATGTCATTGGTTTTTTCAATTGACCTAATCCTTCCAGCCGCACTATGGCCTCTAACACAGCCTCTAACAAAAATGAGCACCAGGAATTTTCCTGGGGATTAAAGGACGGCCGACGCTTAAGGCTAGAAACCTCACCGCCATCTGTGAGCCGATTTTATAGAAAATGTGGGAGCCTCGACGTCTCACAACCTTATGGCCCTCTACGGCTTTTTACAAGGACAGATTTACTTTTTTACGGATATCTTTTAAGGTTTTATATGGCAACTATAAATTTGATATTCAGGTTATTCAAATTAAACCTGCCATTAATAAAGAAGCGATGGTCATCGGCAAATGGAAGACAGTGAAGAGTTACGGTAAAATTATCAATTTCCCGAGACATAAGCCTGTCTTCCACTCGTACATACATATAGTCTGGTCAACTCGTAAATCGTGGAAGTTGTATGGACGGTTTGATGTATGGCTTGGATTCATTCGACTTATAACGTATGTTAAAGAGAACCGCATGGTTCCACTGACGATAGTTAACATGTAACCGTTTGACTACAAGCAGTGAAATCGCTTTTTCACGTTACGTCGTCTTAATCGACTATTGATGAACGATCCTCAGTTCCTTCCATGTCACGTTCGCAAGGTCTTGAATCGACTCTTTCAAGACTATCACCATAGCCTTTCAATTTAATGTGTACCTAAAGATCCTTGTTATATGGCTTCGGGGCGGATCCTCAGAAAATACCGTCTCTCAACAGTAGAACTATTGTTGAGCGTCATCGCGGAAATGTGTTTACCGAGCAGTTGCCTAGCAATGTATGTCTCCTCCGGCTCCAATATTCCGGCTTTCAGACGTCATGACACACTATTAAAATACATTGGAGCAAGTGGATTGAAAGGTGTGGACTGTACTCAGTCTGATCAGGGAATTTGTTGGGCCTGCAATTTAGTGTCATTCAGTCAGTGTCTTAGTCGCTTAGTTAGCAGTTAGTAGTTCTTTTTAGTCAGTCAGTTACCACACCATTCAGTTAGTTTGTTTATTAGTCTATCTATCAGGCATGCAGTTCTCCATTTAGGTCAGTAAGTTATCTTTTTTAAACTTTATTAATTTTTATTTTTATTAATTTATTTCCGTCCCATAAGGCTGACAACCTTACCGCCATCTGTAAGCCGATTGTCGAGAGAAAATTTGGGAGCATCAACGTCTCACAACCCTATGAGCCTTCACGGTCTGTTATAGGGATAGCTTTACTTTACCTTTATTAATTTATTTAGACATTTTTGAGGTGCGGATTGAGCGGATATGCATATGCATTTATTTACATGTTATATACATAAGTATCGATGTTATCTTCATCTGATTTCCTATTGTATAGAATGCAATTGATGAAAAATAGATGTATTAATTTGAAATGCTTAGCACTTAAATTTTATAAATGCAACTATCAACGCGCAAATAATCGCTTTCTTGAAATGATTAACATTGCACGCTTCATCAGAATAATTTTTTTTTTTTTTTTTTTTTGTTTTTCTANTGCTGAGCACAATTCCAATTTCAGTTACTCTTTGGTTTGTCATGAAAGAAAGTAGATGGAAGGAAGAGTAGGAAATATCAAATACAATTGGTGCAACCATAAGATGCCCAAGAACAAAAGATATCAGACGATACATTATTTCCTTCTTTGACACGAATACCAATCAAACAAGTCGTTAGCAATTAATTTCCCATTCTTTTCATATATTTTTTTCTATCGAGTTTGATAAAAAAATACGTGGTTTCCTCCCCGCCTCTTAGAACCGACCTGTAAATCATTTTCTAAAGTATACTTTTCCTTTTTTTTATTTAGGACTCACGACACAATTAAAAGACTAACTTAGCACATCGTAGCTTGTTTCTTGTTCATTTGACAGCACCTATATCATAGGCCGTATTATTACTGACAATGTAAGTTTTAATTGTATGTAAGCTCGGTTTCTGCCCCTTCTAATATCTACTCAGTATCATTACAGAAGGACCGGATGTTTAGTTCATCATTAAAACTTGGTAAATTTCAATTGTTATTGTTCCGTGCCATAAATCGTCAAATAATACTGTTGCAATAAAGCACCTGCCATGTCGCTTAGTACCAAATCCTGCTACACGTCCTACGAAGACAAGTGAGCACTCGGATAAAGCAGTAAGCCAACTGAACCATATTCTCATCGTTAAGGAGTGTTCAATGCATAAACTTCATTTATAAATAATGATTCGTTTGCCGCCTGATAATTAAACTTACGTAATTAAACTTGTAATTTGTAACGTATGGGGCACAAGTAGTTTGTCTAATTTATGGCTTCTTTTGCCCATAAAATTCCGTGGATGGAACTTCTAACAGAATACCTGAATAAACTGCAAAGGCTATAAAATATTTATGTGCCCATTCAACATAATGTATATGCAATATACAGATTTCTCTTTGTTCCTTATAATAAGGTAGTGTTGGTCTAGTGGTCAGAGTTGCTGGCTACAGATCCAGAGGTCCGGGTTCGTTTCCCGGCTCTGCGGGATCTTCTGAGAAAAGGTAGGTCTGAAACGGGGTTCACTCAGCCTCATGAGGATAATTGAGGAGCTGTTTCAAGGATATAGTGGCTCCGGTCTAGAAAACCTAAATTAATGGCCGCGGGAATTCGTTGCGCTGACCACGCGACATCCCCTATCCTCTAAAGTTGGCACTAACTTCGCGACAAGCGGTAGTCGCTCGGTCGGTATAGTCCATTTGCGGACTAAGGCCACGGAGTTTGTTTTTGTTACCATAAAAAGTAAAACTAAAGGTATCCCTGTAACAGGCCTTGGAGGCCCATAGGGTTATGAGATGTTGAAGTTCCCACATTTTCTAGACAGTTGGCTCATATATGGCGGTAAGGTTGTCAGCCCTACGCCCCGGCCACCCTTTACCCCCAAGAACATTCAAAGAATATTCCTGGTGCACATTTCTGTTAGAGGCTGAGTCGACCCCAGGGCCATAGTGCGGCTGGAAGGATTAGGTCAGTTGAAAAAATTCAATGACCTGATCGGGATTCGATCTCGCGACCTTCCGGCTTGTAGTATAGTGCCTCAACCAACTACGCTATCGCATGCTCCCTTTTGTTACCCCATGCTTAGTCAATTAAGCACTATGTCATGAAAGGGTATGGGGAGTGTGAATATAGCTCTCCTGATTCTACAGTGGTCAGCCTCACACCCTGCCGCTTTAGCCCAAGAAAGGAAAGTTGAAGAATTCCTTTCTAACGCTTAACGTATGTTTCGGTGTGTTTTACGGTTTAAATGTTTCGATTGTATATTTACTGAGTTTTCAAACTGTTGTTTGTAACGGACAGATAGTTAACTTTGCTTTCCACTAATGATAGACTTGTTACCCAGATGATCTGTGAGAATCCTGAATGTTATCCTCGGAGTATCACTATCCGAGCTTTCTGGACTTTTTTTTTAAAATTTCCTTTTCTTCACTCAAACCTATCGCAAGATTTATATATATATATATATCCGAGTATTAAGGTGGTCATGATTAATTTCGTGTGATAACGGACGGTTGCTGTTACAGCTGTTCTGGAGGAAGGTGTAGGGATCGTAGGATCACAAAGGACCTCACCTCCATAAAACAAAAATTTTCCTAAAATATTCACTAAATCTACTTTTCTTTCTTTGATTCCGAATATTCATCATGTTTTCTTTTTACAGAAATATTTTTTAATTGCCTGATTACATTTTGTCCAGTTCCAATAATGAAGGTGTATATCTTATTAAAAATTTTGTAAATCTCCGTAGAATGGGGATCAAAGAATCAAAGCCCTTTCACTTAAAATAACAACATATGAGACACGAATGTACAAGACTGGCGGTATTCGAACACCCTACCTCAGTGTGCAGATCATCTTTTTTTTTTAAATTCGCTTAGTTGGCGGTTGAGTCCCACTTGTCCCACTCGGCACATCAGCCACTGACTGGCCTATTGTAGCCTGCCCCTGTTATTATGATGATTGAGAATTTGGTGGAATGAAGATCGGCAGGGGAAACCGAAGTACTCGGAGAAAACCCGCCCCAGCGCCACTTTGTCCACCACAAATCCCACTTGACCAGACCCGGGATCTAACCCTGGCCGCCGCGATGGGAAGCCAGCGACTAACTGCTTGAGCTATGGCCGGACCTTGCAGATCACCTTCGCATGGCCATCGACCTCGACAAATTCGTTATAAATTACTTTATTTGCAGGATAAATTCTGTAATTCAGAACTTTATAAATATTTGTCATGCTACAGGAGCAAGGATGTTTTCATACTGCGACTTAGTGTCCTGCTTCAGTACTTTACAAGAGCTAGGGACTCTAAACAACCGTGACTTGAACTGAACCCAGTACCTTCACATCCATAAAATATATGTTGTAATTTATCTATACAAAGGAAACTGCATCACTTGTATCGCTCGCTATTCTCTTACAGGAATGAACAGGAAGCTAAGCAGTGGTGTACTCTGCTGTGTAATGCTGCAGGTATCGGTGTGCACGCAGTAACTTTGCCTGGTGGAGAGCATCACTTGAGGGTGTAATGAAGGCTGAGGTACGTAATGAGCCCCTGTCTTGTGTTACGTACTTACACACGTCGTTGGTGTGCTGCAATAATTGGGGGAGCAACTGAGAACATGTACTCTCCAGCACACAAGTGCCTGCACTTGAGGTTCGTCTCTTCTCTCGTCATATGATCGGATGCCTTTTCTCATTTGTTTCTTCCTATTCTTCTACTTGACCTTCTTCTCCTGCTACTTCTTCCCATATTCGTATCTTATTTCCTATCCTTCTCATTCGCCTGTTCTTCTTCTGATCTCCTTTCACTCTTCTATATTCTCTCCTTGCCCCTTATTCACTTTTTATTCCTCCTTATAATCTCCCTCCCTCTCATTATCTCATCATTCATTCATTCATCCATCCATGCATTCATCGATTGCTCTACAACCCTTTGTTGGTGCCTGGTCTTTTCTTCAGTTTCGTATTTTTTTTTTTACACAGACGGTAGGACTTCTTGGACAGAGGACCAGCCCGTCGCAAGACTTCTACCTACACACAGAACAACAAAAATACAGAATAAACGCACACAATACAGAGATTCATGTCCCTAATGGGATTCGTACCCACAACCCCAGCGTTCGAGCGAGCGAAGACAGTTTATGCCTTAGACTGCTCGGCGACTGTGATTGGCTATTCTGTCATCACTTCTACTAAAATTCCGAAACACAAATAAAGTATAGATATTTATTTTGTTTGAAGAAGTCCTTAATTCAAGGAAAGAATGCCACTTGTGAGGTTAACTATAGACTATACGATAATCTCTTTGTGTAAAATGAACAATGTCTAACGTACTATTTACGCAATTAGCAGACAATTTTCACAGACTTTAACATCGCAGTGTCTTCGAGAAAAATTTCGTGATTATTGCACTGGAAATTACCACTCATGATTACAACCTTCAGACAGCATTCATTTCTGGGATATAACATTGGGCAGTCCATTGAAAGTCAACCGACATTTCGGAAGAACCTGTCGCCGCCATCTTGACGGTCGAAGAATAAACCTAGCAAGAAACCACAATGAAGCATGAACCAATTGCTGACGTCTTGCTTGGCTTACTCTTCGAACATGAAATTGGATGCGACATGTACCTTTGCTATGAGAACCCAGAATCCTCCATCATTCATTTTTTTTAATACTTAAACGAAAATACCACTTGCGAAACTAAGCATAGTAGAAATGATAATATTAAAGTAGGTCCTAGAGAAATAATGTAAATTTAAAAACTTGATATATTATACCTGCTGAAGACAGAATCGTATAGAGGACTTTCATAAATAAAATGATGTACAAGTCAGTGAAACTGACATTTTTCGATCAACTGCATCAGTATCAACTGTTGGTGGATGGTACATTCCTGCGTATTTAGTTTCAGCTGTCCCCACTGTAAACTACAGGGGAGTATGTTGCTAAATTGTAGAATAGGTGAGAGGGAAAGACCACGTGGCGCCTCTCTTCTAGACATTTGTTCCAAAGGCTGTACCGCATCTTGACCCGACTGGCCGCTCGCTGCAAGGTAGAGTGCCTGCCACCTGCCACCTGCCTCCTGAGCCCCTCCAATTACACAGCCTTGCACTTCTGAGACCACATAAATAGACAGCATCTGCATCACAACACACTTTAAATCAGAGACCTGATCCCTGGCACTAACTACGAGCTTATAAGGACTGTCCAAAGTGACACACGCAGGTCACGGTAGCCGAGCGGTCTAGGGCATGTACTGTCTTCACTCACAGGACAACACAAAAACAGAATACACACATACCAAACATCCATGCCTTGTATGGGATTCGAACCAACAATCCCGGCTTCCGAGCGACCGAAGACAGTACATGCCTTAGACCGCTCAGCTATCGTGACCGGTTCATTTCTTTAATCACCTCCAAATATTCTTTGGATTCTCTTCTGTTCTCCTTCTTCTTTGTCGCCGTTTGCTCTTTTGCATCTGGTTCTCTGAAGAGTATCAAAATATTTTTACATGTGATTTACAGAAGTTATGTTTCATTCATTTTCGCCGCTTTATCCGTTCACGTACACGCTGTGTCTGAAACATCGCTGTGGCCGCGCCATAGCTCAAGTGGTTCCCACGGTCGCTGGCTTCCCACCGCGGCGGCCCATGTTCGATCCCGGGTCTGGTCAAGTGGAATTTGTGGTGGACAAAGTGTCGTTGGAGCAGTACTTTGGTTTCCCCTGCCAATCTTCATTCCACCAAATTCTCCATCATCATAATCATCCTCGGCACGCTACAATAGGCCAATCAGTGGCCGACATGCCGAGTAGGCCCTGCTGGAGTCAACCCCCCATTATGGGAATTTAAAAAAAAAATCGCTGAGGGTAGATCATCGTCAGTAGATTTTACTTTTATAGCCTATTCCCATTAAAATAAATAAAAGTAGGCTTATGAAATCATCATGCTGTCTGTGTGCCTCTGCATCCCACCTTCCCTATTATCTTTCGAAAGCCTGAACCAGTCTTAATGAAACTTGGTCTTATACCATGTCACCTGAGCCTGTCTCAACGGCATGTGGGATCCATGATCGCACCGGAGTTGTCGCTGACACAGAACATTTCTTCCGTGAGGTATAGCGTACCCTGGAAGGAATTTCATACATATAACAACCACGAACAGACCGCTTTGTCAGAACGTAACTTGTCTAAGTTTAATAAATGTAATGTTGTTATGTCTGAAGGGCTAAATTGAATCTGGCCCCCTGTTAGATAGCATAAACCGTTATTTTCTCTGAATCCCTGTTGGTCCGTGTACGCCTGTCGAAAGATTCTGGGTTGCTTCAGAGCTTAGTTGACTCAGCAATATCTGTGTGTGTAGCCTGAGCTAGAAAACCTGTTAACGTACGCCGAGTTGTTCTAACATATGAAGCACTCATGTTCGGAATATAAAGGGGAAATACAGATTCAAAATATCGTCTAACAGGAAAAGAAATCGGCGTAAATATTTTTCGAAACGGTAGTAACTTTACATATTATTTCAAATTGTATTGGTGCATAGCCTTAAGCATTCCTAACATAAATAAGTACTCTATATTTTTCTGTCCCGGGATAAACCTAACTGATACAAGACACGAGAAAAGTGTACGCCTTCACACTGAAATAATATTAAGATAAGTTTCTTCCTGGCCGGAACATTTATTCAGCAGAGAATAGAACGTGCACCCCGCTAACATTGTGTCCTGTCTACACGCTAAGACAGAACAATGGCTGTTGGCACCCAACCGCTGTAGCCGTGTACGAGCGTTGCAACTCGACGACTTATTTAGTTCAATTTCTCCTCAAGAGATAAGGAGAATGCTGTTGCTGTTTTGGGAGTCCGAAGTTTAGCAGATGTAAAAGTCATATAATCAAAAATCCTAACTGAGCCATATAAAATGTTAGGAGAGGACATTTTTACTATTTATAATTGATTTCGAAATTTGGTGAAGAACTCTTAAAGCTCTCGTCTATCTCCTTCCTTATACCCGTCTTCTCTCGTCATTTATTTCGTTTTCACATATAAAACCATCCTTTATCTTTTTCTTTAACTTCCTTCTTCTTTCTGGTGTAACGCGGTAGCATAGTTGGTTGAGGTACAAGCCGCCGAGACCCGATGAGGTCATTGGATTTCTTTTTTAAATTTACCTAATCCTTTTAGCCGCACTATGGCCCTCTGGTCGACTCAGCCTCTAACAGAAATGAGTACCAGGAATCTTCCTTGGAATAAAGGGCGGCCGGCGCGTAAGGCTGACGACCTTACCGCCATCTGCGAACCGACTGTCTACAGAAAGTGTGTGAACCTCGACGTCTCACAACCCAATGGGCCTTTATGGCCTGTTACCCATCTTCTCTCTGATCGCTTGACCATCCGTCCACACATACTCGTACAAGCAACACACTGTTTCTTCATTCATTTCTGTCATATTTCTTGCCTGTTCTTCCATTTTCTTCTCTTGTTTCCGGCATTACTGATTTTTTTACTTTGTCAATTTTCGGATATTCCAACGAGCACAGCGTTTCGGAAACTGGGTCTGTTTCCGCCATCAAGAGAACGGGAGGGACCAACCTATTCTGTCTGTTCGGTTACTATCGATGGACTGAGGTTAACCCTCTCTAATGAACCCAACAAATTAGGTGGGTCCAACCACTTGGCCTGATGAAAGATACAGATCCAGTGTCCAAAATATTATATTCTTTAGAATACCGAACGATTGACAAATCCCAAAAACCTAGTAATCTCGAGAGTTACACACCGTTGTCAGGACCCTTTTGTATCGAACTCCCCTGCTTTCTTATTTCCGTATGTCTCTCCTGCATTCATATATACATGTATATCGTGTGAGTTCGGACAGCGTTCGCTAAACTTCCTGTACATTCCGTCTGTTAAGCTACTGTCAGCTACCACCTCCTAGATACCATTACGTGTTGAATGTTCTCGTCCTTCAAAAGTCTACGTAACGCCTATAGTAGTCTACAATCATCACCATGTCTCAGAACCGGTTGGTCACTTCTTCATATCTCACTGCTGATGACTGAATGCACGTTAGGTCTGTAAACGGGCCGCGTCATAGCTCAAGCGGTTAGTGGCTTCCCACCGCGGCGGCCCGGGTTCAAACTCGGATCTGGTCAAGTGGGATTTGTGGTGGACAAAGTGGCGCTGGGTCAGGTTTTCTCCGAGTACTTCGGTTTCCCCTGCCAATCTTCATTCCACGAAATTCTCCGTCATCATAATCACCAGGGGCAGGCTACAACAGGCCAATCAGTGGCCGCCGTGCCGAGTGGACCCAGCTGGACTCCACCCCCTATTATGCGAATTAAAAAAAAAAGTTTAGGTCTGTAAAGGTAGTCTCTACTCTGTGTTGGAGGTTATGTGATGTACTTCTCCCTCACGAGGATCTGATTCAGCTGGACATCTTGGCAGGTACTCCATCTGCTGTGGGAAACAAGTTACATTGCACATGTGGCGGGCATATGAGGAGTCGCTTTCCTACTCAAGAACAGCAGAGG